AACATTGTGGGTGTGGTGTAAGAATGTTAACACTATGTAATATTTCTACTTGTGTGATGTAGAAGATAATTATCAAAGTATGTAATTATGTAAGAATGTTAACAGTCTGTAATATTTTTTAGTATATCACTAGCGTGGTGTAGAACAAAATTATCTATGTAGTAATACTGCTTGCAAACCAATGATGGTAAGATGATGTTATGGGGTAGGACTAGATAAGTCTAACTTCTTCCTACTCCGTTCAAGCATGTACTAGGTATAATCAAATTGATAATCCATTTGTGGATATGTGTAAAATTATGTGTGTTGACATATTGACTGTCGTTACATATTTGAAAGAATAAATCAAATCAAATCAAACTCACCACACATGAGCAGTCGCACCAACAGGCATCAAACAAATTCACCTTGGCTTTAGGGGAAAAACATCTTATTGGGTCATTTGGCAGTCATCCCCTCACCTACTGTCGTAGTCAGGGCAGAAATCATGGCAGCTTGTCAGGGAAAGTGTTGAGAAATGTTTGCTTGGAGAGCAAGAAGTACAAGGTTGAGCTCTGCAGTCCAACTCTCTGACACATTAAAACTAACATACACAGTTGAAAGATCTGTCAAACCTGTCAGCACGCAGGCAGATTTATTAAACACAATAAAATAAATGTACCAGGGAGACCAAATTAGACTGACTGTGAATGACCTCTGCCTCTTGTTCTTACATGACATGCCTGGCAGAGAGTATTTTTTCCACTAGGTTGTCTCTTTGAACAGATCGCGGCTCAAAACAAGAAAATGGCATGACACGAAAAACAATGTGAAACCAAACAGAATAAAAACAAAACGCTTGATGTGCCTGTGAACATCAGAGTGACAGTCAGCAGCGACTGAAATGCACATCCAAAGTGGGGAAAAGATATAAACCTACTGACATGAAAGTCTGGGAGCACTGAGGTATAGCTGGAGATGAATAGTCAGTATGTGTTTTATGTGTTTATGTGTGTGTGTGTGGGGGTCACTGTGCATGTGAAGAAGTGTGTCTTTCCTGGAGCAGGGAGTGTGCTGAAACATTATCCTTGCTTTTGAGGTTGGCCTTAGCTTGAGGGTTGAACAGCAGAGGTGGACGGGGGGATGCATCAATGAGCAGTGAAGTCTGCTTAAACTGCACTGTACTCACAGTGTGCAACTTAGTTCACTGGTTCATTGATACTAGATACCATCCCTTCATGCGCAAACTTCAAATGCTCAGATACATACAGTATTTTAAAATGCAAATATCCAAGCTCATTTTCAGGACTCCCTGTGGAAGATTAACCAGATTATTAACCAGATAACTGCTGCCTGATTTTACGTCTTCACATAATGAAGACAGTTAAAATGTGACCAGCAAATTACAGGTGCTCTACTGAGAGTGGCAGGCAATTAAACATAGAACAAGGTTGTTTCAGAGCAAACAATAAAAGGTGGGGAAAACATTACTTTGTTTTTGTTTTTTTATGAATGTTATAAAACCAGTTTCACAACAACAAAGTCGTTATTGCTTGAAAAGAAATAAAAATGAGGACACCTGATTAAGTGAATACTGTTTTCAATTGTACGGCAGTTTGGAGCCATTTGTTAATTGAGGGGAAAACATGCTGATGTGGGAACCGTTTTCCTTAATAAAACCCACTACTTTTATGTTTTGCAGGAGATCCTTCAGCATGGCCGTTCATCTGAAGTGGAGAAAATACTGTCTGATGAAAGGTATCAAACACTAAAGGTCAGTTAATAGATGAAAAACAACAAATTAGTTTCCATTCTGGTGCTTTAGCATCACTGTGAAAAGAATTAGCATATTTTATCTCTTAAGGACATAGAGCTCTTCAAAACTTTGAATGCTAACTGTTTCTGAGAAGAGCCTGTCATTTCAGAGCATGTCTTCTTGATTGCATCCTTACTTCGTTTCCTGCCAGCTGTTCACAAGTGTGTTTGGGGTTGGACCTAAGACGGCTGAGAAGTGGTACCGCAGAGGGCTGCGCTCATTCAGCGACATTCTGGCAGAGCCCAGCATTCATCTGAACCGGATGCAGCAAAGTGGTACAGCAACATCTCACTGTCTCCACTCTGCCACTTTACCTCTCATCTCCTGAAAAGTGAGATGAGCGGTGAACAACAGGGAGTTTATGGTGAAAATACAGTGCAAAAGGCAGCAGGGAGATAAAAAATATATATCATGTTAGTTGTACTGGCAAAGATTTCTGGGGGAAATTATCCTTCATTCCTTTTGTACTATTGTTATTTAGTTTAATTACAAACTGGATTTTAATGATAGTTTTGGGCAATTTCCAGAGCAGTAGTAAACTAATTTGGTTCTAAAACATGTTTAAACAACTAAGAGCCCACAACCACTTGCATTGTAAATAAAACCACACTGTTAGATAAAAGGTAAAAGTTCAAGTCCAAAAATAGTTTTTCAACATTAGCAGTCATGGTAAAAGAAATGTAATAATTGCCTAGTGGGCAGTGTCAGAACAAAGGTCTGTGGTGAATTATTAGAAAGGTTTATCATGTTGTGAACATTAAGAGATGTGCATGGAAGTGTTACACTGAGTTTTGGACTGACGTCTCCACCACCAGCATCAAAATACGAACTGAGGGAATATCTTTTGGAAGAATAGTCGTGTTCGGAGACTTTTAGAATCAATGCCAGGGTGCACTGAACATGTTCTGGTGGCACGTGGTGGCCTAGCACCTTACTGAGACACTTTATTTCAGGTTTTTCTTTCATTTGTCACCTGTCTAAGAAGTGCAGACTTTAGAGTGTTGGTGCTAGAGGAAAAGTCTGGGGATCACCCAAGTCATTAGACGTCATTGTCTGGAAGCAAAGAATGTCTGTACAAAACTGAATGGCACTCCATCAAGTAGGTGATGAGATGTTTCAGTCTGGAGTGTTGGACCAACCTGCACAAAATAATGAAGTGGTTACAAAAACAAGATGGAAACTGAAATGCAATACAGGAAGTTATAGTTTAGAGGATATTTGCAGTGATTATTCTGTGAGATGATACAGTGTTCAAATCTGAAAGGAACAGCTGAGTGAAGCAGTACAGGAGCAACCAGATATGTTCATTACATCTGCTTAAAATGTTGTCAGTAACAGCTATCACAGAGTGTTTAATGTACTTGGATAAATGTCTCAGAGGGAAACACTTACATGCAGCACTTCATTTGTCTGCATCATTTCTCTGCTTCTTCTGCTGCTCTGCTACTGTATGACTGATTATAAGCGGTGGTAATTCAAAGCATTCCAGTACACTGCTTGAAAGGTCCCATTCAGTTTGAATCTCCATCTGATAATGTATTATGCTGACAGACACCCTCTTCAAACTGATCATAATCCATTAATCAGAATCAGCTTTATTGGCCAGGTGTGTTGGACACATGAGGAATTAGACTAGTATAACAAATAAGCAGTATTAACCGCAACAAACAGTGGAAACAATGCAAAATAAGCAGTATAAACAGGCAGTAAACAATGCAGACAGACAAAGGAATGCTCATTGTGAAATGAGATAAATAGGAATAAAAACAGAGTACTTAAAAATAGAGACCTGTACGGATCTGTATAATCTGTACAATGTATATTTACAGGTATTGCACTGAGGGTTATTGTCCAGTCATACTGTCATACTGACGTGGGTGTGCTCATCAGAGTAACAGCCCGGGGAAAGAAACTGTCCTTGTGCCTGGTTTTCTTGGCGCACAGTGACCTGTGGGGAGCAATTTGAACAGATTATGTCCCGGATGTGAAGGGTCTGCAGTGATCCTCTCCGCTCTCCTTTTGACCCGTGAGGTGTACAGGTCCTCCATGGAGGGCAGGCTTCTACCAGTGACCTTTTCTGCAGTCCTGACCGCCCGCTGAAGTATGTACTTGTCCTGTTTGGTCACTGAGCCAAACCAGACAGTGACGGAGGTGCAGAGAACAGACTCGATGATTCCTCTGTAGAACTGTATCAGCAGCTCCTGGGGCAGGTTGAACTTCCTGAGCTGGTGCAGGAAGTACATCCTCTGCTGTGCCTTCTTGGTGATGGTCCTGATGTTGGACATCCACTTCAGGTCCTGGGAGATAGTGGAGCCCAGGAACTTGTAGAACTTTACTGCTGATACAGTGCTGCCAAGTGTGGTGAGGAGGGGGGAGGTAAGGTGGGGGTGAAGTCCACTGTCATCTCTAATGTTTTGAGCGTGTTCAGCTCCAGGTTGTTGCGGCTACATCACAGGACCAGTTGCTCAACCTCCCACCTGTAGGCTGACTAGTCGCTGTCTCGGATGAGACCAATGACCGCTGTGTCATCTGCAAACTTTAGGAGCCTGACAGAGGGGTCCTTCAATGATGCAGTCATTGGTGTAGAGTGAAAACAGCAGAGGGGAGAGCACACTTCCCTAGGGGGCACCTGTGCTTATTGTCTGGGTGCTGAATGTGGTTTTCCCCAGCCTCACCTGCTGCTTCCTGTCTGTCAGAAAGCTCTTAATCCACTGACAGGTGGAGGCAGGCACAGTGAGCTGGGTCAGTTTGGAGTGGAGGATGTCCGGGATGATGGTGTTGAACGCTGAAAGTCCACAAAGAGGTCCCTGGGGAGTCGAGGTGTTGCAGGATGTAATGCAGTGCCATGTTCACCGCATCGTCCACTGACCTGCTTGCCTGGTAGGCAAACTGCAGGGGGTCCAGCTGTGGTCTACAATGTCCTTCAAGTGAGCCAACACCAGTCTTTCAAAGGACTTCATAACTACAGATGTCAGGGCGACAGGTCTGTAGTCATTCAGTCCAGTGATGGAGGTTTTCTTGGGGACTGGGATGATGGTGGAGCGTTTGAAGCAGGAGGGGACTTCACACAGCTCCAGTGACCTGTTGAAGATGAGTGTGAAGATGGGGGCCAGCTGATCAGGATACACTTTCAGGCAGGAGGGGGTCATTCCATCTGGGCCTGGTGCCTTTCTGATCCTTTGTTTTTTAAAGAGGCTGGTGATTGTCAGGGAGCAGCTGCTGGGTCTGAGGTGGGGAGGGTGAGGGGGGAGTGTTGTTTGTCAAACCTGCAGTAGAACACATTCAGGTCTTCTGCTAGTTAGGGGGTGATGGTTTCCTATAGCCAGTGATGCTTTTCAGGCTTCTACACAGACGAGTGGTCATTGGCTGAAACCTAGGCTTTCAGCTTTTCAGAGTAGCTCCTCTTTGCTGCTCTGATCTCCCTTGTCACTAGACACTATAATCTTCACTCTATGAAGAGAAATAATGCAGCTTTTTGACATGGAAAATGTATTTGAACCCTGGTTTCTTGACTGTAAGTCTTAAAAGGAACAGAAACATATATTACTCTATTTATACCATTGCAGACTAAATATCAAAGATTTTCTAATTAATTGGTGCTGTTGCTTCATCAGTTTTAAGGGAAGGAAAAGAGAATTCATGATTTTATACAGCACAGAAAATGAGAAACGTAAAGTGGGATAACATCAACAAGATACTCATCAATCATCATTTAGCTACTGTGATTGTAATGATCTTGTGTCTGCAGCAGGCATGCACTAGTAGTCTCATTCCATCAGCAGCACAATGTAATACACTTTACCTTACTTTTAATTCACCCTGACTCTCCACTTCTCAGAGCAAATGGCTATGATTGATGGCTGGCTGCCAGACTGATCATCACGTGGTCTTTTCCCTGCAGGATTTCTGCATTATGGAGACATCTCCAGGGCTGTCACTAAAGTGGAGGCACGAGCCCTGGGAAACATTATTGACGAAGCTGTCCATGCGATCACACCAGACGCCATGCTAACACTGACAGGTGGCTTTCGCAGGTACAAGACTTGTCTCCTCCTTTCAATGTTTCAATGTAACTTTTGTTTTTAATCTACTGTTAAAAGTTGTTTAGGCACAGATAAGTGCCAAGATATCCCATGTGGCTATTCCTTATTACTAACTACTGGCACAGCATAAGAGGTATAGTGTGTGTGTGTGTGTGTGTGTGTGTGTGTGTGTGTGTGTGTGTGTGTGTGTGTGTGTGTGTGTGTGTGTGTGTGTGTGTGTGTGTGTGTGTGTGTGTGTGTGTGTGTGTATGGGTTGGGGTATATGCCTTAGAGCTTTCTGTGCCTAAATGCATCCTCAGTTTTAATTTGACATTTCACCCTGCAGATAATAATCTATATTTTCTTGACTGTAGAAGATAGAAACTTGAGTGTAGGTCATTCATGTTTTGCATTTACATTAAGATGCTGAACTGCATTACATTGTCAATCTCAGAGAGCATGGTGAGTGCTCTTGTAAAGTTACCTACTGAGTGCAGATATTTGCTCACAGCTGCTGCCGCCATCCACTGCCATCTCTTTATGCTGCTCTTTTTATGTGCTTTGTGGCTGAGTAAGCGAGGGCCACTCTGTGCTGTTGTAAAAATCCAGCTGTAACCAGTGGGTTGTGCAGTAAATAATTCAAAGGCAGTCTGGCAGTAAGGACAGGCGCTTGTTGCTCAACAGGGGTAACAGCGCTGCCACAGCTTAGCTGATGGTCTTTAATAATGGCTTGTCTACAAGCTTTACATGTTGCCATGAAGAGTTCTCTTTTTTCTCTGAAAACCTTATGAAAGTTTCACTTTTGTGTATTTGTTGCATTCTAACATACAGTACTCCAGTTTGTCAGAGTTTGGAGCAAAATGTTCGTAGACAGACTTTTAAAGCAGCTTTTGTTAAATAACAGCCATCTTTGGCTACAAGAGACAATGAGATAATGCTAAATGCTAAACAACAATTTAGTGTGGTGGCCGAGGTCTGATGTGGACTAAATTTATTCAAGCAAATCATCCCAATTCCAATGATTATTTATTATGACAATAATTCTCAGCAGTTCAGTAATTTAGAAGGCAGTTCAACAGTCTGAAAGATAGGGAACAGAATCACCATCTCTGCAGAGAAATAAAAGTACCACACAGTGGCCACACAGTCAAGTCAGTCAAGTCAGGTTGGCCCCGTCTCCCCTCTCGGCCCGACTCCTCACTTTCCCCTGTTCCGTCTATCTTCTGTCTCCTTCATTTCTCTCTGATTCACTAGTTTTTTTTATGCCCCTCAATGTTCACAGTCCTTTCTGGCCCTTACGTCATTTCTCATACCCAACTCTTAAGATGGCATCGTTGACTGTGGCTTGCTGTCAATCCCTCCCGTGTGTTACTGTTACTGTTTTTGGTGACTGTTACTTGGAATGTATTGGCTGTACTAGTCTACGATCGCACAGCCCTTCTTAACATTTGATAGTCCATGGAAAAGTGCCCTAGTGTATTCGGCTGGGATAATGCAAAGTCTCTCCCACCACCTTTGGCGGAGGTACATACCTTCGCTTTGTTTGCCCACGAAAAAGTGGCCTAAAAGAGGAGGGAAGAAGGGAGGAGTGCCTCTCAGGCTTAAGGCCCTTTGGCGTTTGGCTCCCACTGGCTTCACTTACGCTTACCTTCGGCCCATTGGTCCAGACTTCTCTGTGCCTCTTCCATGTTGTTGGCTTCTGCGATGCCCGAGAAGAGGTGTAAACTGGGTCTAGCTTTCTGGCTTTAATTAATTTATGTTTAAGGACAGGCTCAGTTCCAGATGCTTTTAAAAAAGCAATTGTCCAGCCTCTTCTCAAAAACCCAAATCTTGACCTTTCAGTGTTCTCGAATTTTAAACCAGTGTCTAAATGATCTTTTATGTCTAAAGTTCTGGAGAAGACTGTTTTTATCCAACTCCAGTCTTTTTTGACAAACAATGGCATTGAGGAGCAATTTCAATCTGGTTTTAAATCAAAACATAGTACTGAGTCTGCATTATTAAAAGTCAGTAATGACATCCTGTTGGCTAGGGACACCAGGGATTCGGTTTAATTGGTGCTTTTAGATCTCACTGCTGCCTTTGATACAGTGGATCATGGAATCCTCTTATCTTGCTTGGGGTAGTGCATAGGAATTCAAGGTACTGGTTCAGATCTTATCTCACCAATAGAAGTTTTACTGTTAATATTGGTACCTGTTCATCCTCCTCAACTATCCTTTCCTGTGGTATCCCCCAAGGATCTGTGCTTGGTCCCATGTTGTTCTCTTTGTACATGCTCCTGCTGGGATCTATCTTAAGGAAATCATGGTTGGCACTTAATTTTTTAAGTCTCAACGAAAATAAGAAGTGTATGCTATTTGGCGACCTGGTGAACCTATCTGCTCCTGACCAGGGTCTGGGCTTGACATCTGAAGTCGACTGTAAAAAATCTGGGGTTCATGTTTGATGGTGATTTGAGATTTGACAAACAAATCAACTCAGTTGTGAAATCTAGCTTCTTCCATCTGAGGCTGTTAAGCAAGGTCAAGTCATTCCTTTCTTTTAATGATTTTGAGATTGCAATCCATGCGTTTATCACTTCTAGGCTTGATTATTGCAATGCTCTATACTATGGTGTTAACCAGTCCTCCCTCGCTCGTCTCCAAATGGTGCAAAACGCTGCTGCTTGTTATGGTTTGTCCCCCTCACCAGGAGGGTGAGGGAGAACTATGGTAGGACTCAAGATTGCAGACCCAGGTGCTAGTGAAAAGAAAAGGGTTTAATGGAACAAAAACACAAAGTAACAACATAACAGGGTCCATGTACATGTACAATCTGGGTGAGGTAGAGATTGTGGAGGAGACCAGGACGACCAGGGGAGTAGACAGGCTAATGGCAAGAATCAGGAGAGTAGGAGAATGAGGACGGACAGGTGAATAGACAAGCTAACCAAGGGGACAGGCAGATGAAAAGCGAAATCCACAGCACAGGAACTGTCAGCGTGGAAAACAAAATGACGTACAAATACATACCACGACAATAGGGTTGTTATGGGGTATGCACATTAATGCTCCGGCGACAGCAGAGCGTCTGCCACAGGTATAAATAAGGTAGGATGGTGATTACAGTAATGTGCCCCAGCTGTGCGCGATAACCCACAAGTCACTAAGTACAAAATGCAACACAGCTGAGGCGCTGATCCTGCAAGAAGAGTGAGCAGGAGAGAGAAAGTGCAGAAGAGAGGCAGGTTGCGCCGAGCGGACCTGACACTGCTCGTCTTTTGACAAATGCTAGGAAATTCGAGCATCTAAACCCGGTACTGGCTTCTCTCCACTGGCTTCCAGTTCATTTTAGAATTGATTTTAAGTTATTGATTTTTGTTTTTAAGGCTCTTAATGGTTTGGCACCATCTTACCTCACTGAATTACTGCATTGGCACAAACCCTCAGATCTTCAAGCCAGTTTCTTTTAGAGGTTCCCAGGGCCAGATATAAACACTGGGGCGACCGTGCTTTTACTGTTGCAGCCCCTAAATTGTGGAATAGTCTACTTTTTAATGTTGGATCAACTATTGACCTCAGTACTTTTAAATCATTGCTTAAAACATATTTATTTGACTTGGCTTTTCATATTCAGTAGGGCCTGATGCATTCCTTTTAATTTTAGTTTATTGAACGTATGTCATCTGCGTGGCTTAGTTATTGTGCTGTTTTATTTTTTTGCACTGATCTTCTTTATTCTTTTTTAGTAATTTATTGTGATTTATTCTGCTTTCTTTCTATTCTGCCATGTAAAGTACTTTGGTCAGCTGGATGTTGTTTTTAAAGTGCTATATAAATAAATTTGATTACCAGTAGCTTCCCATTTAAGGGAAGCCGCTCTCTAAATGTTTATTCACAAGATGAACCCTTAAACTAAACAAAGAGGACATGAACCAGAATGTTCCTGCTTGAGCAAGCTACCAGTACATAGTTCCCATGGTCTCCATGCACAAACGTCTCCAAACATTTCAGAGAAACAGATCTTGCAGGATTATGTAGGATTATGTAAATGCTTAACACTAACCCTTACATAACTATCAGCTATTACCTACTGCAGATAGTATATATATGTAATCTACTATATTCTGTAACCGGCGGATTCGCCACGCCTACATCGCCTGGTTAGTAATTTGGCAGAATAATCATGGATATAAATAACACCTGGGGAGATGCTGTTGCGATAAGCAATGTTTGTGCTGGTCGCTGCCGTAACCGGTCTGAAGTGAATCTCCCTCCATTGAGCTGTGTCCTGTTTCTCTTTTAAGGAGTTTTTAGGAGATTGCCCGCATGCTCTCCAGGAGCGATAATTGATGCGAGCGTGATCCAGTAGAAGTTTGCGTCCATTGCACATGCTGTGCTAGGATGACGTGCAGCCAAGGTAACCTGAAGCATTGTTGGTTTTAATTGTTTTGATCGTTTCTATGCTATTCTTTAACAGTGGCTTTACTTGTTGCAGGGGTGATAGCCACTGTTGCTTTGCCTTAGCTTATGTGATGCTTTGCTTTGCTTTGCTTATGTAGTGCTTTGCTTATGTGATGTTTTGCTTATGCAACGTTTTGCCTTGTTTGGTTTTATGTTAAGAGGTTTACCTAGCTATGTTCCCTATTTATTGTATTTTTTTTTTCTAAATTAGGTTTTGTTCAT